AAAAAAAAAAGAGTTTTTGAAAAAAAAAATACTTTTTTTATCTTGAGAAGCTTGGCCAAACAGGCTATAAGTGGACTAGCTTCCTTGTTAATTATCTTGATCTCTTTCTTATGTGATCTTGATTCTATTTATAGAATAGTATAACAGAGTTAAGCAATTGTTCATGGGATACATGACAAAATAGGTTCAGTCCAAAGAGTTGGGACTTTCAAACATAAGAATCATGCAAATAAAATAATTTATTTTCGTATCGCACAATTTTGAATCCCAAGAGTTGTGTAGAATTCAAAATTGGCAACCCTAATTAACCTATATAGAGGAATCACCTTTATATATATATATATATATATAATATTCGAATCCTATTAAAAAATAGATCTTATGACTATTTGTGTCACAATCCAAGCTTATGACACTGTATTATTCGATTTGATCCAATAGATTTCACTACCTTGTCCTTTCGACTACGCTAATGTCAAGCCCAAAAGTGTGTGTATCACGAGAATTTATAATATATCTTATAAAGTTCTTCACTTTTCTCTCATTCGATGTTGGTCAAATACGATCATACACGGACCCATGCATATTTATACACATGGCATTTGCCCAAATTAAGCACTCCATATGTTACGCCACAGAGAGACAAGGAAGATTGTCTTTAGGTGATCATATCAAATAAAAAATTCAGAGAAAACAGAGTGTACAGAGAAGCCATGAGGAAAGCCATTGCTTCACACCTCATCGACTACGTCATAAGTCATGCGCTCAAAGGCCTATATATTCATGATATCCACAGCCAACCATTTCTCTATCTATCTATTTCCTTATGCAATTAACTACTACTCAATTTGTTGTCATATATCTAAAAAAACAAAAGTTAAGAAAATGGCAAAATTATATGAGAATGAACACCCAGTAAAGGCCTTTGGATGGGCAGCTAGAGATGCTTCTGGTGTTCTTTCTCCTTTCAACTTTACAAGAAGGTATTGTTTGATTCTTTTATCCTAAATTTTAGTTAGCTTTTTTTTAGTTAAATTTATTCAGCTTCTCTGTTTTATGAGTGGTGTTATGGCTATAGAAAACTCTAAAATAGGGGGTAATTAGGTTTGAATTAATTATGGGTGCAGAGCCACTGGTGAGAAGGATGTGCAGTTCAAAGTTATGTATTGTGGAATTTGTCATTCTGATCTTCAGCAGCTCAAGAATGAATGGAGCACTAGCATATATCCAATGGTACCTGGGTTAGTTTCCATTTTCTTACTTTTTAATTATTTATTTGCATTTGAATTTAAGTTGTATACACTGACGTGTAAAAGGTGTGTAATCTAACTTGTGATAACATGGTAATTAACATTTTTATCAGATTATTAATATAATCGATTTCTTTCACTAGGATTATATATATTTCTACTTCTTAGAGTTATTATTCTTTTAGAATTTCCTAATTTTTTAAAAGATCTTTGTTAAACTCTCACCAACTTCTTCTTCTTCGATTCTATTCTCTTCTAGCTCAATTATATTAGTGATTTGTTTATCTACCATAAATTCTTCCTATTTTTGGGGATTGTATTAAAGTTTCAATTCTTCTCTTTTTTTTTTTGTTATTTTTAATATGCGGATTCATATTTTTTTTTTGTTGGCATATTAAAATTCTGATAAATTTAAAAAGATAATACATATACTTACAAACAAAACATATAAAAAAAACATTAGATGCAAAGTTAAGAAAAGTATAGAACAATTGAACCTAGTTTAACAAATAGTCATATATAACTTGATATTACTTTTGTTGTTTCAATATTTTAGTGCAATGCTGGGAAAGCTTAACAAAAAAGGAGTTCGCAATTGCTTTCTGCTATCATATTTGACAGAATATTTTATGAGACAGTGGACTTATAAATCTAAAAGACTAAATAAAATATAAAAGATTAAGTAAAAATAAGTTTAAAGAGAAACTAATAAAAGTAACGTGGGTCCTGTGATATTAATCATAATATATAAAGGAGGCAAGAAATATTTCACACGTAAGTTATTTATTCCTATTCCCAAATTATCTCTATCGGTCCCATAGTTTCCTTATTTATGAAATACTATAGGACTCGATGATCTCGAGGACGGGCATTCTGACCTCGTGTTCTAATTTTATAGGACTCCGGGTCGATCTTTGATCCCTTACGTTCCGAGCCCGGTAAGTCATGTAGTAGACGAGCCCAGTTTCGACCGTATACAGATAGTCCTCTTGTTTTTCAGAGAGTAAACGAGAAACAATACGAGCTTCCAATTCTCACCTCGATACTCCGTGTCAGAAACGACAAAATGAATGAAACATCTCGTCAGTCACGTTTCAATGGCATTAAATGCTTGTACGTTGTTGGTTGGCCATTCCTAGATTTGAATCGTCATTTGAAAGTTATAAATACCCCCTTCCTTATCCATTCAAACTTTACTTCCAAAACTTCTACTCTTACTTTTTAGAAATTTCTCTATTTTTCAACACTCACACTTCTGATTTCTTGAGATCCTTGTGTCAAGAATTTCGTTTGTTTCCACCCTAAATCACTAAGTGTATTGCTCTAATTCCTCTTCTTCTTTTTCCTTCCATCTCCAAAAAGAAATGGCGAAGACTTCAAAATGGTTCCCCAAAAAGAAACTACTTCTACATCATGGTCGGTCGGCGAGGAATCGGGGGTGGAACCGCCTCTTAGCACATTCATTCCTAGCAGGTGCTTGGTGACCGCTGATTTTAAGGTTGAAAAACCTTCACCCCCGGTCCGGGGTGAGAAGGTCTCGAGGTACATTTGCTCGATCGCTGAAGAAATTCTCCCCTCGGTTAAAAAGGAATGCAACTAGGTCGGTAAAGACGTAATAGTGCCCCCATGAAGATATCACTACCCAAGTCGAGGGATATTTAAGTGTTTACACTTATTCCTTTACTATGGGCCCGTTGGACCCGGTAATCATCCATTTCTGCAAAAGGTACAAGGTGTGCCTCAGCCAGATTCACCCTTCGTTCTAGAGAATCATCATCCTTCTCCGGTTCTTCGTGAGCAAGATCGACAGAAGCTCGTTTACTAACGACCATCTTATGCTCATATACAATCCCCTACTCTTTCGGTGGGGACTAATTAAACTTGCACGTCGGGCTAGTAAAGCCCCGTTCTAGAGCATCGATGAATATGTGGATCGATGTTGGCTAGGCCGATTTGTCTGAGTGAGGACCTCGGACCTGATCCCAGCCAAACACATGTCGTTTCCCGAGAAGTGGAACACAAAACGTAAGTAAAGTTTCGTTTTTCCAAGAATTTTACTTTTTACTCTCTTCTTCTTCATTCTTATCGGTGTTTGGTGGCGATGTAGCTATTGCTCTGGACCCGAATACAGTCCCCCGACTCAAGGAGTGGGTCAAGGGCATTGTTGCACAAAATCCATATTTCGAGCGCGCACGATGCGAGCTCTCGAAGGGCCGCTGGTGGGAGGCCCGTTCTCATGGTGAGATCCCTCTCCTAAGTGAATAACACTTAGTTTTCTTTTGTGTTATTGAGTTCTTATTCATTTCGTTTCCCTTTGCATATCCTTCCAAGGATGTCACAATGAGGCCTCCATCCGGCGGCGAGGAATGCCCTGCCGAGTCCCTTGCTCCGAGACGAGGTGAGGAGAAGAAGAGAAAAAGGGCTCTGAGTTCTCCGAACTTGAAAAAAAGAAAACAAGGAGAAGTCTGGTGCGCAAATCTAAGAATAGCACCAGCGCTCGAGCTCCATCCTCGGACTCACTCGATCGGTAGAGGGACGAGTCAGAAGAAGAAAATGCCTCTAAATTGGTGGCCCGTATACGGTCAGGGTTCGAGGTTCGAGGGGCCTCTGAACAAATGAGAGGTGAAACTGAATTGCCGCGACTTAGAGCGGCCGAAGAGGAGGCCGTGGCCGAGGCTTCCGAACTAGGAGGAGGCAAGGTTGTTTTGCCCCAAGTTAGGGAGGCTGATAAGGAGGTTGTGGTCGGTGCTTCCTGGGTAGTGGATAGTATCCTAATGGACACACTCGGTGTGATAGACCTCTCCGAGTCGCCTTCGTTCACTGAGTCCATGTTCATCGAGGCCCAGATGTGGAAAAGACGCCCCAACGAGGGGTCAAAAAGGGTGGTAGACCCCTTTAACTACTTTTTTTATGGCGTAGACTCTAACGCCTCAGAAGACGTCACCGGGTTGGGTGATTTAACGGTGCCAAGGAAACGTCCATCATCGGGAATGAGTGGACCTTCCTCGAGTCTGAAATTAGTCAATCAGTTTCCAGTTCCGAGTGCGAAACATGACCGGAAGCGATCGGTCATTATGTCTATTCCGGAGGACACCCGGGTTCTCTCAGCGGCGTAAGAGTGGCCAGTTACCTTCGGTGCTTGGTCACCGAGGAAGACCAAGCCATGATGAATAAGGTGGAAGTGCCATGCCTGTTCAACGAAGCTCAACATGCATTATACCGGGTAACTTCAGATAGGTCTTTTTAACTTGTACTTAGATTAATTTATATATGGTCATAACATTTTCCTTTATGTTTGTAGGACCTTGGTGCTTCATCACGCGACTTTTTTCCAATACCGGGAAGAGTTAAACCATTATGAGGCCGAGATCTGAAGGCTCACTGAGAAGAGAGATGCTTACAAACTTCTCAGTGAGCAACGCGAGGGGGAGTCTAGGAGCCTCGAAGCTAAGCTAGAAGCGGCTTGGAAGGAACATGCCGACCTGGTGGAAAAGGTAAAAGTCTTTGAGGTTAGTGATGATGAGCTAAAATCGATGACTAACGCTCCGAATCTGTAGGACCAACAGAATCTTAATCGGATTGACCAACTTCGGGGCAGAGGTGGATGTGGTAAAGTCCGAGGCCAAAGAATAGAAAAGCAAAATAGATCGTTTGTCCTCAGAAAAAGAGAGTGCCCGAACACAATTTGCTTCGGTTGAGGTCCAGCTCTGAGCCATGAAGGAAAAGGCCTTGGTGCAGGCCAAAAATATTGAAGAGCATAAGTCTCAGCTGAGTACTGCTGTCTTTGATCAAGATAATCTTGCCAAGGAGCATGGAACGGCCAAGTCAGAGGCCGAGGCGGTTAAAGTAGAGGCTGGCGAGATAGTGGCCATTTTTAAAGCCGATGTCAAGGTGGCTCAGGTTCGGACAAAGGATATCATCAAGTACGTGAAGCGGCAATCTCGAAGGAAGGCCCTCGAGGAAATTCATACTCGGGGTTTTGACTTATCGGTTGAGATCGAGAGTGCCAAGGAGCTCTAAGCCGAGGCCAAAAAATTGGCCTATCTCGAAGACGATGAAGATTAGGAAGATGATTCCGGGAATGGGGGAGACCCCAAAGGCGATGATGCGACCCCCGACGAAGACTAGGCCACTTAGGCTCTTTTGTTTCTTGCTTTATGTATTACCTTTTTGTTGAGGCCATTTGGCCTCTGTAAAAATTTGTGTCGAGGCCGTTTCGGTCCTAGTAAACATCTTTCGATATGTATATATAAGATTTTTTCCTTCCTCAATCTCTGAGTTTTTTCCACTGCTTTATTATTTATATTTGCAAAGATTTAAAATGCCTTGGCATGAACTAGTTTGGCTATGCTCGGAGATTCAAACAAGACTTGCCTTCAACATTATTTTGTTTTTGAGGAATCGTGAGGGTTCTCTGTGATCGAAATTTTTCCCCCAAAGTACTTATACTTTTTTAGATTATAGTTTGTCGAGGGTAACTTTTAAAACCCGTTAAAAAGTTTAAGGCCTTGTTGTTTTTGCTATGGTTTCGGACGTCTCCGAGCCGTGTTAATTTGGATGTAACATTTTTAGTTCGGATGTTTCCCAGTGGGATTGTCACCTTGAATTATCCGAGTTTGCCTAGGATAACAGTCCCCAAGTGAGATGGCCGTAGCCTTTAAAATTCGGGTATTGCCTAACAAGTCTTATGCCCTCGAGTTGCGATCCGTCGGACGGAAGTCCCCGAGTGAGAGTGATTGTTTGAACTTGGATTAAGGTGGCCCTTGATCTCGATACCTTTAGGGGATTGGATGTAGAAACTTCCTTAAAACATGCAAAGTAAATTTTAAGAGACAAGATATTTATCTGCAAGGAAAAGACCTCTTTTTATTCTTGTGCATAATAGTAATAAATGCATGCATTCTTTGTGCCATGGGTCGAGCAGTCTATGCAGGCATGGTTCATTTGACCGTTTGGACCTTACAATAAATCCTATCGATCGAGACCATTCAATCTCAAAGTTTCTTTCCTTGCTAAAGTCAATACCCAAGAGTAATGCCCCTAGTATTCGAGGTGGATCATAGAGAGAAGCCTCGGATGCTACTGATGCAATCTCTGACATCGATTCATGATCGTTCTTCAATTCTAAGTTAGCAAGATCCACTATTTCCTTATTAAAAACCTTGCCGGAAAACCTATTTGGGACAAAATCGGACCGAGGAAAAAAGAGCGCAATGCGTGCTTTCAGACCTAAAATTTTATACTGTTCCATACGGTTATCTACAAATGTTAGTTAAAATAAGTAAAAAAGAATAAGTGGGATCATAACTTAGAAGTTATACCACTTCAAGTGTATTATGTTCCAGTTGTTCGGTAGTTGCTCTCAATTTATAGTTCCGAGTTTGTAGGATCCCTTTCCGCCGATCTCGATAATTTGGTACGACCCTTCTCGGTTCGGCCCCAACTTCCCTTCGTTCGGGTTTTGGGTGTTTAGTGTGACCTTCCTTAGTACTAAGTCCCCAATATTGAAGTGTCGGAGATTGGTCCTTCGATTGTAGTATCTCAAGATCTGCTGCTTTTTGGAAGCCAACCAGACAAGGGCGGCTTCGCGCCTTTCATCTAATTGCTCTAGGCTCGTACTCATGGCCTCTTAATTTGATTCTTGGTCGCATATCAAAACATGATACTCGGTTCTCTGACTTCGACCGGTATTAGAGCTTCAGTGCCATAAACTAATGAGAATGGGGTAGCCCCGGTACTGGATTTCGAGGTCGTATGTTATGCCCATAGGACTTCAGGCAGGATTTCCTTCCATTTTCTTTTGGCGTCAGATAACCTCTTTTTGGTTTTGTTGGTTGATTCTGCTTGTCCGTTCCACTAGGGTGATAAGGTGTTGATAAGATCCTTTTGATCTTACAGTCTTCGAGAAACTTGGTCACTTTCCTACGATAAATTGTTTTCCCTTGTTGCACACGATTTCGGACAACATTCTGAACCGGCATATGATGTGGTCCCAAATGAAATCGATGACTTCCTTCTCCCTGACCTTCTCGTATGCCTGGGCTTTCGCCCACTTAGAAAAATAGCCAGTCATAAACAAAATAAATTAAGCCTTATTGGGTGCCCATCGAAGAGGGCCAATAATGTCCATTCCCCACTTCATGAATGGCCATGTTGACAAGACCGAATGCAGTAGCTCCTAGGGTTGATGTATCGTCGGAGCATGTTTTTGACATTCATCACATTTTCGTATGAACTCCTTCGCGTCCTTTTCCATATCGATCCAGTAGTAGCCGACTCTAATTATTTTTCGAACCAATGATTCGGTGCCTAAATGATTTTCGCATGTGCCCCCGTGAATTTCCCTAATAATGTACTCGGTATCTCTCTGTCCCAAACATATCGCTAGTGGGACATCGAACGTTCTTCTGAATAGAGTTTCATCTTAGGACAAGCTAAACCGAGCTACTTTTGTACGCATGGCCCTCAATTATTTTGGATCATAGGGTAGTTTTTCTGCCTTCAAATATTCTATATACTTGTTTCTCCAATCCCAAGTTAAGCTTGTACAGTTTATCTCGGCATGGCCTTCTTCCACTACCGATCTCATGAGTTGTACGACTGCTCCCGAGTTGAGCTCGTCGTCCTTGACCGATGATCCTAAGTTATCAAGGGCATTGGCCTTGCTATTTTGATCCCGAGGTACGTGTTGCAAAGTCCACTCCTTGAACCGATGTAATGTCACCTACAACTTGTCCAGGTGCCTTTGCATCCGTTCCTCTCTGGCCTAGAATGTTCCGTTAACTTGGTTCACCACGAGAAAGGAATCACACTTAGCTTCGATCACCTCCGCCCCCAAGATTTTGGCTAGTTCGAGACCTGCAATCAAGGCCTCATATTCAGCCTCGTTGTTAGTCAATTTCACAGTCCTAATAAATTTTCTAACTACATTGCATGTAGGTGGCTTCAATATGATGCCAAGTCTGGACCCTTTTGCATTCGAGGAACCATCCATAAAGAGAGTTTAGATTCCCGAAAACGTCCCCGAGTTTACCAACAACTCTCATTTGACCTCGGGTACTAGGGCCGGCATAAAGTCGGCCGCGAAATCTACCAAAATTTGAGATTTAATGGTTGTTCGGGGTCGATATTCAATATAGTACCTGCTGATTTCCACAGCCCATTTGGCCAAATGCACAGAGAGCTGGGGTTTATGCATTATATTTTGCAAAGGGTAAGTAGTTACAACACATATAGGATGACATTTAAAATATTGTTTCAGCTTCTAGAGGCACTTAGCAAAGCGAGTGCCAAATTTTCTAAGTAAAGGTATGTAGTTTCGGCCTCACCCAGAGTCCTGCTAACATAGTAAATTGAAAATTCCGGACCTTGCTCTTCTTGGACCAGGACTCCACTTACCGCTATCTCTGATACTACCAAGTACAGGTATAACTGTTCGTCAGTCTTTGGCGTGTGAAGCGGAGGTAGGCTTGACTGATACTGTTTGAGCTCCTCCAAGGCCTACTGGCACTCCGGAGTCCACGAGAAGTTATTCTTCTTTTTTAATAGCGAGAAGAATCGGTGACTCTTATCGAAGGACCTCGAGATGAATCGTGCAGGGCGGCTATGCGCCCGGTTAGTCTTTGCACGACCTTTACGTTGTCCACAGCCGTGATATCTTCGATGGCTTTGATCTTGTCAGGGTTGATCTCGATTCCTCAGTTAGATACCTTGAACCCGAGAAATTTACCCATTCTGACTCTAAATGCACATTTCTCCGGGTTCAACTTCATATTGTACTTTTTCATTATACTGAAGGTTTCTTGCAAATGTTCTAAATGGTCCTTTGCTCGCAGGGACTTAACCAACATATCGTCAATGTAAACTTCAATTGATTTTCCTATTTGTTCCTCGAACATCAGGTTTACTAGGCGTTGATAAGTAGCACCAGTGTTTTTTAATTCGATTGGCATCATGTTATATCAGTATCTACCATACTTAGTGATGAAGGAGGTTTCTCCTGCTCATCTGGGTCCATTCGTATGTGGTTGTACCCAGAATAGGCATCGAGAAAAATGAGTATCTTGTGGCCGGTCGTGGCATAGATCATGTGGTCGATGTTGGGCAAAATGAAAGAGTCTGTGGGACATGCCTTATTCAAATCCTTATAGTATACATACATTCTTAACTTGTTCCCTTTTTTAAGAACTACTACTATGTTTGCTAACCAATCTGGATATTTTACTTCCCGAATTGACTCTATTTTAAGGAGTTTAGATACCTCGTCCTTGATGAAAGCATGGTTGACCTCGGACTGTGGTCTCCTCTTCTGCTTGATCGGGTGAAAGTTTGGATCCAGGCTTAGCTTGTGAGTGGTTATCTTTGGTGGGATCCTTGTCATATCAATATGGGACAAAGCGAAACAATTGATGTTAGCTACAAGAAATTGAATGAGTTTTTTTCTGAGCTCGGGAGTTAACCCCGTGCCCAGGTATACCTTCTGATCGGGGAGATGTTCGATCAATGTGACATGTTCCAACTCCTCAACCATTGATTTTGTGGTGTCAGAATCATCGGGGACTATAAAAGATCTGGGAACCCCGTAATCATCATCTTCATCAGTCCCCTGTTTATCCGACTGGGTCGTGGCCGTTGTCGATAATTGCTATTTAGCCCCTTGCTTTGTATCCGAACTTGGTTCATTTGATGTTGTGAGTGTTGATATTGGAATTACTTCTTCGACTGAAAACATTTCTTTTGCGAATGGTTGTTCCTCGTAGATTGTTTTAATCCCTCCTGGCATTGGGAACTTTAACACTTGGTGAAGAGTCGAGGGCACCGCCCTCATGCTGTGGATCCATGGCCTCCTAAACAGGGCGTGGTACCTCATGTCTCCTTCGATCACATAAAACTTGGTTTCCTGGATGGTCCCTGCAGCATTCACTGGTAATGTTATCTCTCCCTTAGTGGTTTCACATGCCATGTTGAATGCGTTTAGAACTCGATCTGCATGCTCGATTTGATCTTGTAGGCCGAGCTATTCTACGACCCTCGATCGGAAGATATTGTCCGAGCTACCTGGATCAATTAACACACACTTAACTTGAGATTTATTTATGAGTATAGATATTACCAGTGCATCATTGTAGGGCTGCACGATCCCTTCTGCATCCTTGTCGTTGAAAGAAAAAGTTCCTTCTAGTATTCATCTCGAGTCCGTTTTTCCCTTGTGATGGATACTTTGGTGTGCTTTAACGTTGCCCCTTGAGGAACATCGACCCCACCGATAATC